TTTTTTAATTAGAAAGTATATTGCTAAAATTAATATTTGAAATTTTATTAAAAAAATAAAGTTTAAAAAAATAAACATAGACAAATTTGCCTATATTACAATTTAAGGGATAAGTTAGGAGAGACAGAAGTCTTTGATACTGGTCGTGATAACATCTGAGTAAAGGTCGAAGAGTTAAACAAAGATGTCGCAAGGGTTATTTTTGTAGATGAAAATGAAAGTCCAATTGACACTATAGAGAAAGTGAAATTTATAAATAAGGCAACTGAAAATAAAATAACACCTGTGGAAGTTAAGGGTCAAAAAAGCTATCTTATAACTTGGATAAATAGCTATGAGTTGTATATAGATAGTGATAAAATTTTTAAATTTAAACACAGAGTGGGCATGTGCAAATAAAAAAAAAACTTGCAGATTTTCTTGTAAAAGACCATTAAACTTTTTTTTATTTGTATTCACACCGTAACAGTGATATATATATTTTTTATTTATATAATGTTGTCTCGGCAATATAATTTTTTATAATAATAAAGGGAGGGGCCTGCTGGCTCCTATTTTTTTTATTTTTACGTAATTTTTTACAATATTATTTGCGATTATTAATTAGTAGAGACTATTGAGTTAACTTTATTAATCTATGCTTTTACGGTTACTATTGAGATTTCAGTATAAGCTCTCCAATATTTACACAATCATGTATTAATACTAGGCCTATGCTACGATCATGAACTTGAGTTTATTATTTGAAGTGTTGCAGATAAGACAATATTCCAACTTATCTTGGGAATACAACTTCACTAATTCAGGATCATAAGGGAGCTGATTCCCATTTTCATGATACCATGTAATCTATAATTCCTATGTTTTCTATTGCAAATGAGGCATAGTGAGCTCCACGGCTGAGGTGATGCAAAACTACTGTATAATTATCAATTTCCCTAAAACTATTTCAGAATTTCAAGTATAGGAAGTGCTCTAAGACGGATTTGATAATTAACTCTGAATTAGGTTTGGCTTTGAACATGATAGGCTTGAAATCAGCTATTTTGATAACAAGATTTTGTTTTTCTTCTGGATCATCGGGTAAGATAGAAATTGGAAAACAAGAATTAAGAGATGCATTTTTGTTTATAGGTAATATGCGTACCTCTGTTTTCTTTTTGTTATCTTCAATTTGGGAGGATCTAGAAGTTTCAAAGTTTATCCAAGGATCGAGTCCAGTTTTATTCTTATATCTTTTATATAACCTAGAATGAATTTTATCTGACAAAATGCTTGGTAATTCTGTTAATTTAGCTTCCCACTCTAAATATTTGGGAGTTAATATTTTATTGGTATTTGTTTGTGAATTTATGTTGCCGTATTATATAATTGCACATCTCTTTAAATTGATAATAGCCAAGAAAAATAAATATACCTCAGAGTGTTTTTTCTCATAAATTTAAAAAAAAAAAAAAAAGTAATTAGCTTCTGTTTAAATGCAAGTATATATAGTGATCACTTACTTTCTGGCTTCAAGCAAATATTGCGAAAAGCCAGAGTTCATGCTGTTACCTCAATTTCAATTCCACGCTGTTCACATTTAAGATTATAAGATCCAATTTCATATCTGCCTTCTATACCATTTTCATCGTTATGATCCAACTTACATAGCGAACATAATGATTTATCAGTAATTCCATAATAATCGTCATTTCCATCACTACCTTCTTGGCATAAATTAGGATATTGCTTTAATATTTTATTATGGAAATAAATATGATCACGAGTTGAATTAGATGGAGATATAGGTGATGCACTTGCCTCACTTTTTGCTAAATCATCTGAGTCAGACGATTTAATCACATATGGGTGAGATCCAAGGTCGCACAGTACACATTCCACTTTGTTAGAAGTGAAAGTATCCTTACTATTTCAAGATTCTTTGGTAAAATGTTCTATAATATATTGAATTTGTGAGTTAGAAAGTTTTGATATTCCATTTGCACTATAAGATTTAACCCGTTTAATCTTATCCTTTCCTATACTGTTAAATAATTTATAAATCTTACAAGCTCTTTGAGTTTGCTTGCAAAAATTCTCACATAAGACATCAGAAAGACAATCTCAAATTTCATTATAAACTTGAATTCTTGCCAAGTCATCTGCTCTTTTATTATTTTAGCAAATAGATAAATTATCATTAACCCTCTTTTCGAAACCTTCTGCATAATAATACCAGCTTAAAATTACTTCTTGCTTAGCATAGATAATATTCTTTTTAGCTTTCCTTGCTTTTTGATATAAATGAGCCAATTTGATAATAATATATTTGTCATTTTCATTGTAATCTGATATATCCAGCTCTTTATTTTTAATGACTTCAATTGATTCTTCTGATACAGGTTCCAAATATAATTCTTGTATAAATTTTTGCATCTCAATTTGGCTATCCTTCTAAATTGAATCGTTTTTAGTTTCAGTCACATGAAAGTGAGACCCGGGATCGCAGGGTTGATGCTCGGTCATAATATTTATTTTAGAAGAAATGATACTTTGTGCCTAGTTATGACTTGGGTGGGCGACTATATAATCATGCAAAACTTTTGTTTCTTTGGGCTGTATTGGCACCGATTTGCTGTTTTGCTCAAGTGGGACTTTTGGTCTCACTTTTTTACTACATAATTCTTCAACCAATATAGAGGAAATTCTTGTTCCCGAAGTTTCTTCTCTCTAATTCTCTGAATTATCTCTTTACTAACCTTTTCTTTATATGTTGAACCCAAGAATTCATTGACCACCTTATTTTCCAATGATTTACTCTCTTTGTGAATAGGTAGCGCAGAATATTGAGATGAAGACTCATGACATACATCAGGATTTGAAATGTTATCAGATATATTATAGGAATTAATTTCAATCGGTTTAGATATATCATCAGAATTCATTCTATGAGAGGCATTGGCCATACCACTGATATTAGCCAAAGATTGTTCTTTTGGAATGAATGTATCTACCTGTTCAGACTTCCCAGCACCCTTACTTTGTAAGTCATTTTGTGATAGCTTTTGTTCTAATTTCGGGACCCTGGATCTAAGCTCAATATGTTCTCATGCAGATCATTCTAATTCCACGATTCTTACCTCAAGCTTATTTTTTTCTTTGTGATCTGTTCCAATTCTGCGATTCTAGCCATAAGTCTGGCATTCTCCTGTTTCAATAAATCTAGTTCAGATTTGGAGTTTCCCATTGTTTTATATAAGATGTATATATGTTCAAAAGTTTGTATTTGTATTTTTTATTTATATTTTTTATTTGTATATTGTTGTTCGTTTGGGCAACAATTTTTATGAAATAAAGAGAGATCCGGTGACCTCGCCATTTTTTATTTTAACGCGATCGTGTAAATCGATTCCACCCATAACTTTATTAAATTAATAATTTCCAGGGCCGTCTCAGAAAATTGCAAAGAAAAATTTTAAAAATTCTCAATATGCGAGTAATATACAGTACATTGATAATAATATAATAAAATAAATTCACAAATATACATGCAAAATTTAACTGATTATATATACAAATCAACCACCAGGATCAGCTTTATTGATAACTGCCAAATCAAATTCTAATACGTTAAAAATACAAAAATGTGAGATTATTATATTTTTATTAATAACATTACGTGCTAGATTAACAAATATTAGGTTATATAAAAACTCTTTCTGCTCATCATCTGTACACAAAATTTCGTCACAATAATTTTTACATTTTTCTTAATTTACAGAAAATTTTATTAAGTTAACAACCTTTTGTCTCTTAATAACATTTGTTCAGCTACTGTTTTTACATATA